TGCGAAATGAGTTGAGGCTACTGTCGATATTGATTTCGTAAACGACATTCCACGGAATATCCTTTGTAAATGTATCCTTGGTGTTTTCGAAAAAAGAAATATTCATTAGATTGTATCTTTGATATTAAATAACTTTAAGGAATATTTATTAGAGCTCCATTATGAAATATTATAATCAATCGTCATCTGTATCTATTTCTCACAAATATTTGATTCTAAACATCGCAAAAATTTCATTAAAGAGCAAGAATCACTGTAACCCTTTCCCTTCACCCTACATCCCCCTCCTCTTTCCAAAGTATTCCACGTATTCCTCACAACACCTGATTCCATAAATATTAAATATTAATCTTACAACCCTCGACCCACACCATTCAACATTCCAACCCCAACATTGAAACGATCAAAATCCAAAACAACTTTTTCCAAAAACCAATATCAAATTCACCCTCAGAATCTCGATTCCCCTATCATTGTACGAACATATATTTCTCCATTCCTTTCAATCTTTCCCTCTCCCCCTACCGTTCCACAAAGCGACGTTCTCCCCTTCGATTCTTCAGCCGACACATGTACACCAAAGGGTGGCTCAAGGGTGGATCCCAGGAAGTTGACCATCGACGACAGAGTTAAAGGGGAAGTTGGCAAAGTTTACGAGACGGCCACGGTATTTGTCGAGGGATTGGACGCAAGGCGGGTTAAACCGAGAGGGCAGGATCCGGAAGCTTGTCGGAAGTTATCCTCCCCCCCCCCCCTCCCTCCCTCCTCTCTGGCTCCCTCGGGATGGCCACGGTAACTATCGCGAAATTGCATCGTTCCAATGATCGAAACTCTAGTAGCTGGAACGCGTGTACACTTTCAGAGGGAGGGGGAGGGGGGGGGGAGTCCTTGGCTGTCGTTAATGCACCACAGGGGACGCGTGGCGCGATATTGCGCGACGATTGTCGCGCTCGTTGGGTGTCCTGGATCCATTGTCGGTGGCTGAGTTATGTCGTTGGACCACGTTGGTGACGAATTTATGGTGGTGGTGGTGGTGGTGGTCACGTGGAATGGAAGTCCGCCAGTAGTTAAGTTGCGTGTATCGTTATCGTTATGTTCTGTTATGGATCTTGGATGTTGATGGCGATGATTTCTGATAATTTTTTTTTTTTTTTTTGAATGAGGTGGATGGTGAATGGCGTAGGAGTAGCGATGATTTAGATGCATTTTAGATAATTAATAAGGATAATTGTGTATTAGTTCAGATTTTGTTTTGTTTTTGAAATTTGAATTTTAGAGTAGGGAGTAGTGGTACGTGTTAGGGTTGAATAGAGATAAATTTGGACACGTTGGTACAGGGTACAGGTTGCTTATAAAAGACTTGATATTAGATATTACGTGTTTTAATTGAATTTTGAAGATGGATGGGTTCATACTTAAGTATGAAAGTAATTGGAATTTAATAGTCTCTTTATGAGAATTGATGAGAATTCTACGGTAAATGCGGTTGAATACGGGAACATAAATGTGATGAAGCGTGATTAGTTTCGCTCAAATTATGATATCTATTTAGAATTCTTAATTATGTTTGGTGAAAAAATAAAAAATAGATCTTTTTTATTTTTCTTCTTCCAATTCTAAAATTTCTTCAAAATTATTTGTATTTCGCGAATTTCAATACAAGTGGATTGAAACGTTCAATATTATTTTGTGTAAGATGTGTAAAAAAAAGAAAAAAAAGAAAAAAAATCATAATCGCATACAGGACGAAATTTTGAAAGCAGTATATTTTATTATTTTACCCGGTTATTGCAAATGGAAATTGCTGGTGTACCGATCCATTTCCCAACGATTAATCATTGTCAACCACGATTCGTTTCCTGTCTCCGCCCAGCTCACTAAATTTAGACCAGACACTGTCAATGAAAAGCAAATTGACGACCGCGTATATAACTTTGACTCTCGCCGATCTGGCCGCGATTAATGGGTCACTAGCTTCATTTTCAGATTCGTCGAAATAAACTGTCTATTTGCGTATTTCAATCTTTATCGTCTCTCCGTAAATTTTGAACGAATGCTTGAATGCTTGAAGAAAGGAATTTTCTTTCTTTTTCTCTTCTTTCAAGCAAAACTTGAAAACCTCTTATGTCAAAAATTTTTTAAAATTAAGTCAAATATATCTTTTAACAAAAAGAAGAAAATGATTTGATGGTTCGAGGAATTTAAAAATTAAAAAATAAAAAAATTAGATTCTGATGATGATATTAATTTCACGTCAATTTTATTTTTTTTTTTTTTATTTTTCGATAGAAAAGGAATATGTATATTATAGGTAAATATTATGCTAGAATAAATATTTTCGAAACTTTGGTTGATTTAAGGAATTTTATGCTAATATTAAGAAAGTGGAATGCCTCTTTATACAAGTTGAGGTTGCTTAAATATTCTTTTTGAACTTTAAGCCAACTGACTTGTAAATCTCGTTATGAATATTACACGCCAAACTTAAGATTTTTTTATTTATACTATTACTAACTTTTACTAATTAATTCATCATTATCGATTTAATTAAAAATCAACGATTGATTTTTCAAAGATTTTTTTTTCCTATCCTAACATTATTAATTTATAAAAAGCTAATCCAACGATATTGCGAATATCAAAAACTCGTTGGTCAAAAATTGCTATATATATATATATATATCTCATAAATTTCAACATAATGCTAATATTACTCGTTCGAAAAATTCATTCATCGCGATCCCAATATGCATCGAAAATAAGAATCGAGCAATATTTGCATAGAAATTTGAAAATTAGAAAAGTTGAGAGAGAGAGAGAGAGAGAGAGAGAGAGAGTGAGGACGTTTCACGTGCAATGGCGCTATTCGAATCTAAAAAAAAAAAAGAAAAATAATAATAATAATACAGAAACTGTTTTGCGCGACAATTCTCTCGAGAATTCCGGGAATTATCGCGAGATTAAAATAAAAAATTCGTAAAAAAATCTACACGCCATGATTACGCCACGATGCTTTAATGAACGTCACGAGGTGGATGGAAGTGGAAACCAACTGGTAGTCGGTTAACAAAACTCGGATGCAAATGAAATCGATCCCTATCTCCATATAGAATCCCCCCAAAATTTTCCAACTTCTACTGTTGCATTGCTACAAATTCCATTCCGTGAATATTTCTTTCCTTTTTTTTTTTTTTTTTTTTTTTTTTNTTTTTTTTTTTTTTTTTTTTTTCATTGGATTTCCAGTGAAATTGGATCGTACTGGTATATTCGGTTAATCGTGTCATCTTTGTGAAAAAGTTTCAACGAAGCGAAAAAAAATAATTAATAAGATATAATTTTTATTTCTTTTTTCGAGAAAGAAGAATTTAAAATCGATAAAATTCGAAAAATTTTGTTTGTTGTTCAGAGTTACTTTTATTTAAATATTTTGCGGAATGTAAATTAATACTCTGAGAACGTTTGAATTGAACTTGTAGAAGTTTGGAAATAATTAAAAATTCCAATTTTTATGCATAACATATTTTCATATGCTACTGCGAAATTAAATCTGTGCCTATTCTTTTGGAATGTTGGAAAATTGGATAGAATTAAAATAGAACATTGTATTTTTCGTATTTTATTTAAATTCTTTTTTCTTTCCCTTTTTGATCAAAGAGAAAGGAATGAAAATTCCAGAAACAACTTAAAAAAAAAAAAAAGAAAATACATATATTACATAGGATGTCTTACAAATTCAGCTACCTTCTCCTAAGGTTATCTTGTAAACAAAGTATTCATACTTTTATTAAAAAATTTTAATAAAAATATTAAATATTGTCTATAATAAGAATGTAATAATATAAAAAGTTATCTATGTGTTCAAATGAAATTTTTTAAAGATTAAATGATCGTTATTGTCGCTGAACTTCAGGGCATTTTTATACATTAAATGGAGAATTACGAGTGGCCTTATTAGAACTCAATTTAAAGTGTTCGTTAAAAAGTTTCGAAAGAATTTTGTCTTTACTGAATCAACAAATCATTGGAAATTGCGTTAGTTAAAAGTTGCTTTCCTTTTCTTGTTTTTCCTTGATACACAGCATTGTAATCAATGTTAGAGAGAGATTCTATGAAGAAAGTTCAATTTAGATAAACCTTTAGGTTCCTTCGATGGATTTTCTTGGTGCTTGGATACTTTTCGCTACTCTCTTTTCCTTAGAAAAATTTTATGTTAGTTTAAATCTTGGGCTTTTGTGCTTTCTTAGAAGAAAAAAGTTTCTTTAACGATATATTGTTGTAATGAAAGTTTTAGAGATGTATGGAAAAGAAAATATTTGAATTTTTTTTGAAACAATTGAATTTTGTTTTCTTTTTGAAAAGATAAATAAAAAAATTATGTATTGTTCTAATATAAAAGTAATTACATATTGTTTGTTTGCATTAAATATATTATTTCATTAGAATTAATAATCTATTAATAATATTTAATCTTATATAATATTTAATATGGAATAATATTGGGTACAAATACATAATATAGTCTAGAAAATATTCGTGAAAATTTTATTTATGAATTTTATTATAAATTAAATATTAAAATTTGTATTACAAATTAAATATTATTTGTTTATCTATGATTGTAATTATACGTAAAATAATGTTCATGAACTCTAAAATTCTATGATAAAAGAGTATTACATGCTGTACATTACTGTATATAACAATAATAATTGTTAAATCAAGTTAATCAAATAATTAAATAATATATAAATTATAACAATATAAGCATATGAACTGTATAATATTTTAATTCTCCGCGCGCTTTGGGTGAAAAGATGCCGCGTTATTTTAGCCAATTAGAAGAATTGGCGCGTTATACTAACCAATTAGAAAAGGAGTGCGTAACGTCAGCCAATCAGAACGCTACTCGTATTGCGACAGCCAATTGCAATGTGGCTGCGCGAGCTTGCTACATATGGCGTCATTCTCCTGTGGAAAGTCGTCGTGACAGGATGTGTTACTTTTGTGCGTGATTCGTTTTTATTTCTACTTCGCCACGATTTATGGACTACAATTAGCTTCATTTATTTGGTAAGCACTTATTTAATGATTTATTGAACATTATCATATCGAAATTAAGTAGTTTTCCGAACTTCTCTCTTCGTTTCTCGACTATTATATACCGGTAGCTTGTATCACGAGTTTCTCAGACGAAATATAGACTCGATTATTGCTTTATTCTAACGTAATTTGTTTTAATTTTATTTATTTTTTGTGTAGATAATTGCGAAAATAACTTTATTAGGAAGTAAAGTTATACATCAAAGACGGTTTAATGACGAATTCGATTGAATTGGAATCCCTTCATACAGCTTCAGCCATGATTTATTTCAACAAATCATCGATTGAGGTATATATATCTACAAATTTTCTTTTTATAACTATTGAATAATGAGAATTTAATACATAATTGATATATATATATATTTTACCGAGCAAGATTAAAGTAGAAAGTAGAAATAGATTTTGCTTTTATATTTCATCATATTTCGATCGCGAATTTTGTAAAGAACGTCGTCATTAGTAGATAACCTCTATTCTCATGAATACACAAACACATTCGAGCGTGTTTTCATATTGCGCATAGTCGATAGAACTTCGTAGTATTATTATATACTCTCAAGGTTAGAGGAGAAAAATATTAAATTTCTTCTATTCCATTTCGTTTTACTAATTTACTTTTTACATTCAGAGAGTTATTGTGCATGCAATGCGATCATATAATCAGTGTTTGCTTTGTAATAGTATTTTTAATATTTATTAGAGCATAATAGCTCACATAATTATTACATATTATTATTCATACGTGAATGTAAAGTCAGTGTTTGTTCGTTGAATAAAATTTAAACAGTTGAATCAATAGTCTTTTATTTTTTTATATTTTTTTTTAAATATTCATTTTCGGTATAGAGTCAGTGCTTCTTTCGAAAAGATAAAACAATCATTTATCATACAAAGAGATAACTATATTTTATATTAATAATTTTTATTTTTTTACCGAAATATAATTAAATTTTCAATTTTTAAATTTCAATTTATTATTATTATTATTATATTTTATTAAAATTTCAATCTTCGTTATTATTGTATTGCAAATCTAATAATATTTTATTCGTTATTATTTCAATTTTTTCAAATTATTATGGTATTTTAAATTGTAATGTTCTTTCTTTCTTTTTTTTTTTTTTTTACAGATTTTTTGCATTTTTCTACTTACATCCTTTATACGTGAAAATAGCTTCCATGATGTCTTGTTATTGGTTTATAACAACTTTGAGGACAACATCCTTCGCATCTGACGGTGAGTCGCATGCATTTTTGTTCCTCCAATCACTCAATCATGTCATAGGATGAAAAGTCCGAATCGACACGGGTGATTGGTTGTATTATATAAAAATTTGCATTATACTTATTTTGTAATACTTATTTTGTAATTTTGTACATTGTAAATAATAATATTTTCTTAATATTTATTAATTCTACAAGAATAATCCTTCTTTAAATATATTTCTATGTTGCGAATCTATTATATATTTTATTTTATCGACCAATAAATAAAAATGTTGTGTCTCGTGTCCACTTTTATCCGATCGGAATTTCGAAAATCGCGTGATCGGAAACGCGTTTAAAAAAAAATTCCCCAACGATGCAATTAAAATATCCTCATCCGATCGATCTGATAGCATTCGATAGCGTTCGCGATTGATAAACTACGTTTCGATATGCATAGTCGAATAGAAGTCGAATAATAATTTGTCGTGGATAATCGAACGTACGCGACGTGGCTATGTTTTGCAAATTTTTGCAAATGCGAAACGTTTGTTCGATGTTGCGGGGTTAGATAGATTTTTGAAATTGAGGAAGTTGAGTTATGATGATCGAACAGGATTTCGATTTCGAGATTTTCGATTGTTATTCACGGTTTTGTTGTTCGGTATAAATTACACGGTTTATTCATTTTGCAGGATATAATCGTGCGATTTGTTATGTTTTATCGTTGGAGATTAAGGTTTTTAAACGGTTGAAACGATAAAGCATGATGTTAAATGTAGTTGAAAGATTGAAAATTAATTAAAGTGGAGTAAATAAGCGGAGGAAATTAGTAGAATTAAATTTAATGGAAATTTTGTTCGTATTATCTTTTCTATGAATAATTAAATATAGATTTTATTTTTTTCTACTTATCTCGCTGTTTTATTTTTGTAGACACAATTCTTTTTATAAAATCGCAATAACTTTACAATTATATGTATTATAATTAAATACATTTATACATATATTTTTTTTTTTTTTTACTTAAAATTACTTAAAATATATTTGTAATTAAAAAAATCTGTAATATTATATTTTTAATGAATATCGGATGCAAGAGTTTCAATATTAAACATCGGGAACATCATTTAATCTATGATCGATTGATCCTACAAAAAGCAACGTTTTCATATCATCTTCACTGTTTAATATTTTACATCGATACATTCGATACATATTCCGAAATTAAAAATATACTATATTACCGATTTAAAAAAATTTTAATTCCGACAAATCTCTCGTGTTTCAATAAATTCTCAGCAATCTACAAATTCCACAAAGGATGTTTCAAAATTCCTCCTAATTCTCCTCAAGCAACTTATCCTAAACCTTTCATTTTTACCCTTATTCCCAACAGTTCTAGGTTTCAAAAAATTCTTAAAAAATTCCAAAACACTTATAACGTCGAATAAAAAAAAAAAAAAAAAAGAAACCAAACTTCTTCCAATAAGAAGAAGAACCCATTTCACCCAAAAATTTCACAATAAAATTTCCTCTCCGTGAACTCGTACATCGTACGACCCCCAGGGTTAAATCTTCCATTTGCACTCTGCAAATCTTACGTATACATAAAACAATATCCACATACTCCATAATTCTCTCAAACTTCCCCAAAGCCACGTTCATTCTCTCACGCAACACACACACACACACCACACACATACGCACACACATTGTGTTACCTCGATCGATGAATCGCGTACCAGCCAGTCTCTCGACGATAATTCGCGCCAAGTAATTGAACGTGCATCGATGTAAATAATATTTCGCGGTGTACAAGCGTCGCCGATGAGCGTAAATAAACATTACGTTCCGCGTAATTTCGAATAATTTCACCGATTAAGTATACATATCCCCCTGTTGCGCTCGCGCGCGCGGAATTAAGCGATAAATCCCCCGATAAATCGGCAACCGGCCGGCTGTGAAACGATGCAGTTTATATGAATTCATTGAGGAACGCGTGGATGTAAATGGTCAAATGGGAGATATGTATACATACATATATATATATATATATATATACATATATATTGGTGTAAAGCGATAATCGAAAGCATCGAACTTAGGAAAATTCGATCGCCGCCCACGCTCTCGTGAATGCTTGGATAAGTTAATACGCGGCTCTGTCTGTGAACTCGACGATTCGACAAAGGAGGGGGGGAAGGGTATCCTATTTTTTTCTCTCTCTCTTTATATGATTGCTAGATTCGGGCTAGATTTTTCTTTTTCCAAATATTTCTCCTTTTTTCTTTCCTCCTCCTCTTCTTTTGTTTAGTATTGCATGGTTATTAAATTTTGCAACCTCCTCCTCTTCTTTTGTTTAGTATTGCATGGTTATTAAATTTTGCAAGAGTTTTATATCGTGTCTTTCGTTTTTTTCAGTTGGCATGATTAGATCGTGATTAAATCGAAAAGATTTTTATATCGTTTCTTCTTTTTTATTTTATATATGAAATACAAATGCGCGAATGAATGTATCGTGATCAGCCGTATTTTTAGCCAAACGTTTTCTCGAGAAAAAATTCGTTGATATCGACTTGTTTAGCCACGTCAGAATATTAATTGGAAATTCGAAATTTTTATATCCCGCTACACTTTTTATCTGTCTCGCTTATCCAATCTCTCTTAATCGTTGGAACATTAAATATTCGTTGAAAGACGCGAAAAGAAAGGAAGAGAGTAGAAAAATAAAGGGGGTGTATAGAGTCTAAGGAGAATAATCGAGGAGCGGTCAGTTGGAGCCGGATTAGTCGACTTAACGTAATAAAATCGAGTTAACGAAGATCGTTAACGGGATAGAGGCTGGACGCCGGATGAACGAGCGTGTGGCTCGTTCTCAACACGTTCCAACACACTTACACCTGCTAATTACTTAACACACCTGTTCTGCTCGCCGTGCAACCCTTTATCGCGCGGCTTATCCGAAATCGATCGATTATTCTGCCCCTCGGCGCGATCCTTGGGGCGTGAAATTTTCTTTCACCCCCCCCCGTTGGAAAACTTTCCCTTCCAACGGGGTGGTGGTCTTGGTTGGAAGTTCACCTCGTTAGACGTAATTACGAACTTGGAAATTATCGCCAACAGATCCTCCCCCCGAATCGATGTTTTTCGAAGATAGTTTCATTAACTTATGGATCGACTCCCCCACGGTTGATATAAGTTTGAAAGGATTATTGTCAAGTTACTTATCGAGCATCGTTCCTTCTGAATCGCGATAAACGTTGCTGTATGTTATTTTCGTTTGTGAAAATAGTACCTTTAACTTCAAGCTTGTCAAGAAATGAGGCAAAAGAAGGATCAGATGACGAAAGAATGAGTAAAAGAGGGATAATGTCAGGCAAGTGGTGTAAGATAGATTTCTTAGAATGAAAGATTGGATCGCTATTAAAGTTTCGTTACAAAATACTATACTTTTTATCGTGCATATTTCGTGTTACTTGGCTGACCATAAAATCGGATCATAAAACAATCGATAAATACTTGATTAATAAAACTATTTGTTACATTATTGTATTTTTCGATTCTTTTGACCGGTATAGAATTAATTTAAGATTTTTATTTCGTATATTCGAATTAATTATTTCTCTTCTCAGAGTTGTTTGAAATTTTCATCAGGCTCGAATCTCTGTTTGTGTAAACATGTCCTCAAGTATACACATACCGATCGCAGTTGACGATTATAGGACACATTATGACGCGGAGTGGTATCGATTTCACGAAACGTAACGAGTATCGTAGCGTGGGTATCAACGAAGCGTTTCATTGGGATAGATTGTGAGATGGGTAACCTCGCTGTTAATAGTGTTACCGGTTAAATCAATTAAACGGTTGACCAGATAACGTTAAATGGTCACAGTGGCTTGCATCGCTTGATTTTTAAAAGTCTCGCGCCACCGTAAGATAGGACAGTTCCATAGAATCCAAGTATCTTAAAAAAAAAAAAAAAAAAAAAAAAAAAAAAAAAAAAAAAAAAAAAAAAAATAGAAAAATTACAAATTAAAAATTCTATAGAAAACTCGTAAAATATTTAAATAATTTTAAGAATATTATAACTCGTAACTCATATCTCTCGTTTTTCAATCGTCTACAAATATTTCTCTCGCAAAGGTTTAAAAAAATATATATGTATATACATTTAGAACGCGGAAAGAAAAATTTTAGCAAATATAAATTACTCTTAAATTAGGATTTTATTTTATTCCTCGCGAGTTGTGCGAGTTGAGTTGAGGGTCGGAAAGGAGCCGCCCCCATCCGACGAGCCTGCAATTTCGTTCCAATTTCCATTACCTGAAGATCTCTTCCGGGCTCGGCCTAATACATATCCTCTCGATGTACTGGATGTACCTTTAGATGTAAACACGTAGTCGATCCGGTAGGCTGTGCAGATTAAACTTTGATTAGATCGAATATAACGAGGATTCTGTCGGTACCTGCGCCTCTCTGTTACTCGACAATGCTGTTTGCGAAATGCTGTCTCGTTTATGCGAAATGTGATCAATATGGCGCAGTTGAAATGTAACAGTTTGTTAGACGATCACGATGAATAGGTTTGTTTCACTGTTTAGCCTCGGTCGGCTGTAATTGGGTCATGCCAGGCCCCTCGTGTTTCGAATAAAACGATACATATTCTGACGTGCGAGTTTAATAATGTAGGGACAATAAAATTTATTCCTTTTGATTTTAAATGATTTGAGTGATAAATTTAAAAAAAATTTTTTTTTCTTTTTTCTACTTTAGATCGATGAAATTAAATCTAATTTATCTTTCTTTCAATTATTTTATTGACAAAATTCTTTCTTCTAAAATTTCTATCAAATTTTTCTTCATCGTCGAAAATATTGATCGACATTTAATCATAATACATATCTGGAAATGTATTAATTTCATGGTCTGATAATAGTTTGAATAAAAAAATATCGATAGTCTGTAACTCGTCAATCTCGATATTCTCTAATAGATTCTCCATTTTTTTTCTTCGTGAATTCGATG